TTAACGCCTAAATGTATGAGTGCATTGTAGTTTTGCTTCAACAAGTTCAAGAACTAAAACAGTACCTTTATCCTTTTCTGCATGAACCACTTATAAAAACCCAGCAAAAACTGCAATCTCACATGAACTTTATGTTTTGTACTGTTTTGCCACTACTATTCTTCTGTCTTCCCTTCTCTCTTTTACATTTCTCTCCTCTCACTTTCTCCCTTACTGCCAGTCCACCTTATCCCTCAATTTTCCTGTTTCCCTCTATCACCACACCAAAGGGGGTCTGCTTCCTCACACTGCCCGCTGTCTCCCGCATAGTCTCTTTGGCCAAGAACAACTGTGGGCTGTTGTGCGTTGCCTCTGAGCTGTTCTCATGCAACTAAACGAACATGAGTTCTACCACCACTGAACAGTGTAGTAGGAACCTATTTTAACTACTGTTATTAATTGTTTTACCATGTTGCATTTATTTTGTGAGCTATTTTAATAGTGGCAGAAGTCATTTTTGTTCAGCTGTTCTAAGAAGCAGCAGCACTGCACAGCAGAAGAGGCTTGATATGACAGGCTAAGACATACATTAAACGCCTCTTCCGAACGGTTGACCATCAGCACACCAAAGGTACCAAAACCACCTTCTGGCCTTGCTTCATGCACATCTAATAGCCGCCCGGTATCCATGGTGGCTATGAGAAGTAATAGCAGATGCTCAGGTGTGATAGTGATATTCTTGCCAATGAGTCTGGGGAGTTATGCCAACATACTGTACGTTGCTGTACAGATGGGAGTAGTAATGACCGTGTTGATTTTGGACAGATAGTGACTAAAGGCAGAAATGGAAGGATGTGATGCTTAGGAAGCAATACACTCCAGCAGCAGAACTGGGGGAGGATGAGCAACTTAGAAAGTCATACTGTTCAGATGCTACCACTTAGAAAGACAAGTAAGTTCTCAACAGAATCTGTAATTATCTGGGCAACATTTTGTAGTGAAATCATTCTTACTAAAGATAAAGTAATAGTGATTCCTCCCTTAAATTAATGAAAACTTCCCTTCAAAAGATGAAAAGGACCTGGGGTTGCTGGTTGACAGCCGGCTGAACATGAGCCAGCAGTGTGCCCAGGTGGCCAAGAAGGCCAACAGCATCCTGGCTTGTATCAGGAATAGTGTGGCCAGCAGGAGCAGGGAGGTGATTGTTCCCCTGTACTCGGCACTGGTGAGGCCGCACCTGGAATACTGTGTCCAGTTTTGGGCCCCTCAATACGAGAAAGACATTGAGGTGCTGGAGCATGTCCAGAGAAGGGCAACAAAGCTGGTGAAGGGTCTGGAGCACAGGTCTTATGAGGAGCGGCTGAGGGAACTGGGGTTGTTTAGCCTGGAGAAGAGGAGGCTGAGGGGTGACCTTATTGCTCTCTGCAACTACCTGAAAGGAGGTTGTAGTGAGGTGGGTGTTGGTCTCTTCTCCCAAGTAGTTAGCGATAGGATGAGAGGAAATGGGCTCAAGCTGTGCCAGGGGAGGTTTAGATTAGATATTCGGAAAAATTTCTTCACGGAAAGGGTCATCAAGCATTGGAAGAGGCTGCCCAGAGAGGTGGTGGAGTCACCATCCCTGGAAGCGTTCAAAAGACAGGTAGATGTGGCGCTTCGGGACATGGTTTAGTCTAGTCTACCCTTGATTGGTTTAGTGTGGACTTGGTAATGTTAGGTTAATGGTTGGACTGGATGATCTTAAAGGTCTTTTCCAACCTAAATGATTCTATGATTCTATGACTGAAAATGCATTGCAGGATCGCCACCCATTTTGGTTTTTTCACTGGCTGAACATGCAAGTTGCTCTACTCAGTGGATGGTATCATAACTCCTGAAGCGTCCAGGCTCCTCAGGACCAGGACAAAATACAGTTACCCTGGGAAGCACTCTCTGAAGACAGAAGGACGGTACAAAACATACCTAATCGCGGATTCTAGTTTTTCCAAGTGCCCTCTGTCTTTTCATCTGGCCAAGCCAGATACCCTACTGTGAGAAATTCTTTCTCATTAGTAGTATGAGAGGACTAAGGAAATGGACAGATAACATTCTGATTTTCCATTCCATCCTACTATTTAACCACATGTAAGATTTGCATCAGTTTCTCTATTTGTGGAACAGTACTACAAAATAAACACAGTTTTAAATGCTCTAAGATACTTGCAGGAATGAATTATGAATATGCTAATATTAGTTACAGTAGATATATGGAGTGGATTGCTGAAAGGTTGGGGAATCTGAATCACAGAAGTCTTACCATAACTAATTCTGATGTCTAAAATGAAACTGAAGCACCGCAGAGAAAATTATTTTTGATCATTTCATTGCAATATTTGAGGCTATTTCCTTGCCATTTTCTACTGCTTTTAATTATGAAGCTACACATGATGTTCTCAATATTGTCTGCAAAAAACGGAGCATGGATTTTTAATGGCAGGTACGCAGTTCCCTTTCTGTTGACTTCAATGATTTCCTTCTTGTTTAAACATGCTAAAAGGAAACAGTAGCTGTATGTACAATTCTGAAACTATTACTTGATGTCAAACACCTCATCTAAGCCATTTCCCATGCAAGAAGATGAAAATCCCCAAACATCTGAAAGAAGTTAGTGGGGGAAAAAAAAAAAAAGGAAGTTACCCAATTTAGAAGGAGGCTATAGCAGTAACTAAGAACAGCAACTTAAACTGCATATGAGGGAATGATTCCTGGCAGCCAGATATATTAATGCACATCTAGATGCAACTGTGCAAAGCCCTCCATGGTGGCAGCTCTAAAACCATAAATGGTATAGCTGCACCATTAAAACTGTGCACCAGAGTGAAGAACAGCATCATCAAAACCCTCAGTCATACAAATGGTCCTGAATCAGGGGACTAATCTTTTTGACTAATCTATTTTGATAAAGATTGTCAGGTGGGCAAAATAACCCCCTTTATATATAGAATTTCACCATTACTAGAATAAAATTAGCATCTCACCAATACGTTTTGTGGTTACTGGCAAGTTCACTAAGATTAAAAGGAATATTTATTCAAATATTTCCAATATGCTAGAGGAAATGGAAATGGCTACAGCTCTGCTTAAGCAAGAGATGCCATATGTGCAACGGAAATCTCATAGAAGTATGCCAAATAATGTTTGTTAGTGCTTTCCCTGTTAATACCATAACCCTGAACTTGGAGAAAGTCTACTCTTTCAAAGAAAGTTCTCGCTCATTACTGGGATCTTGCTTATATATCGGCCTTTTTGAGGGTTGTTTTTAACATCATTAGTTACAAAATTAAATACACAGTAATGGGAAGAAGACAACATTGTAATTATGAAAGGAGCAGAATCTTGTCAGGAAAAGTTTCCCTTGCCTCTTTTCCCTCTGTCATTTATTTGCTCTCTCATTTATACAGAACTTCAGCTGACATTCAAAGGTAGCTCTTGATCTGATGAATACTGAACTGTGCTTCAGTAAGAGACTTCTGTTGTTGTTGTTTGTCTCTTAACTATAATTAAAATTTCTAATTGGAATTTACAACTGTGCCTGTAGTGTGTTGTTATCACAGGTGATACGCCAGAAAAGAGTTATGGTGCCCTCCCAAAATATGAAGAATAATGGCTCTGGCTCACAGGTGAATTACACAGTTCCTTAGCGAACATTGAGGACTAGCTTAAAAACCTCCTGGAGACAAACAGGGGTTACCACATAATTATGTGACAAATAAGCCACAGCCCATGCAGTGAGCGAGTTTGATGGATGGGATTTTCACATATTTTGTCTTCAACTTCAGAATTTACTCAAGCATGATGCCACTAGTGGTCAGTATTAAAGGCCCTCAACAAAGCAAGCCAGCACACAACACAGTTGCAGCATGTGTAACTTGGCAGGGAAGTACAGAATCATATCTGCATTTCACCAAACTCATGTTTCCAGCTCACTATGAGATCCAGGTATAGAGGACAAGACTACCTTGTTGCTCTGTGTTTATTTCTGAGATATTAGGAGGATTCATTTGCTGTATAGTCAAATCATGTAACTGACAATTCCATGTGGTAAAACCACATTCCATAACTTAAGTGGAGCAAAATAGGGTCCTTTTGAGAAAACAAATACAGAAGGTAGTCAAGAGAAAAAAAAAAGACTCAAACTGGAGGGATTTTTCAGTTTCTCCAATCACTCCCACAAATACATCCATTTCCTTTATGTCATTTTTGCTTATGTCACTTTTCAGAGTTACATAATTTCCACATCTGTTTTTGACAAGCATGTTCTAGACCATGTAACGTTATTTTTACTGTCAAGATTTGCCTAGAAATACTTTCACCTATGCCCATATACTTAGCCACTTGGGAAGATACAATGTATTAACCCTCTTGTTTGCCAAGTTACTAACTCTAGTTGTTGTGTAAGAAAATGGAAAGGTTTTGATAATTTGAGTCTTTGGCACATACTAGAGTAACAGTACAACAGCAGAAAAAGAAAAAAAGGAGCTTTAGAAGAAGGGCTTTCACAAGAACAGGGCTTGGAATTTGAAACAGCTGCATGGTGTGAAGAAGGTGGCTGTACATTTCAGATTTGTGTAAATGAGACAGTAAATATATCAAGTAAGAAAGATGCTGCTTCAGATAATGTATAAATAAACTATGAATATACATATATATGTATGTAAAATGTTTTAAAATGCATTGTTTCATTCATATGACATGCACAGTTAAAGATCAGAAAGGAAAACTTTGATCAACAAATCTGAGTCAGTTACTGACTCTTGTATTCCTTAAATTCTTTCAAAATTAATAAACAAACTTCATTGTCAAAGTGCTAACATACCAGTGATTCTCAATTTACAGCAGAAATAATATTCTAGCTTTCTATAAAAGAGCTACTAAACAGCTTAGGGAGGTATTGTTGCAGGAAAACAAGGACAGGTACAAGATGGTTCCTCCTACACAGGCTACTAAGAGCAGCAGCAATATCAGCGATCGTTAGACAAACTAACCTGTGGTGTCATTCCATGGCAGATATACATGATTGGGATGTTCTCCGTGTCTGGCCCTTGATCAAGGCACAAATCACTTTTCAGGGAATTCTGCAGCTAAAATAAACAGAAAGAAAATGAAATCAAGCAAATCTGACATGAGAAAAAGGTGGTGTGATTACTGTTTCTTTGCAAAAAAATCATATGCAGTTGAGCAAGAAAATATGCAAAATTAAAAATACTTGTTGCAGTGAAGATGTTGAAGAGAAAGCACCTGAACTAAATTCTTCCTTGTAGGTAATCTAACACTACTGATTTCAATAATGTTGCACAAGGTTTCAGGGAGGGTAGATTTCAAAAAGCCTTCAGAGATAGCAATAGTTTTTGATATATGTTTTTAAAATATTGTCTAATGAGTCTCTGGTACACACTATATACAAAAGAGAAATTTTCTAACAGTGCAGCTCGCTGAGCAGTGTGGATGGAGTTTCAAACATAGGAGAAAGCCCTGTAATTAAGCAGCTTTTCAGAATCACTCAGGAGAGTTGTCTGATTTCTGGAAATAATTCAAAAAAATCCTTTCTGCTGACACTGAGAGACTTCTGGCCAATTGGTATGCACTAGCTCTTCTTTGCATTATTCCGGGCTAGCCCATGCACAGCAATCTAGCTATGAACTGACTGCAGAGTACGTGGCCCTGTTGATCACAAAGCCCCATATATTACCTGTGCAATGCTGAGACAGAATTTGCTGGAAGTACAGTGCTAAATTAATGAGCACAGATAGCTGGAAGGTCTTTTTAGAGTGTGAGGCCAAAGATGTAGATTGCATACCCATGGGCATGCGTAAAGGTGTTCAGTGGTGTAAGATCAGTTCAGAGAACATGAGAGAATCGTCTGATGGAGGGAGTGAAGAGGTGATGTGGTTTGCAACCATCTGTGATTAACTGAGCAGTCCTGTCAGCTGTGTACAGGGGCCTCCTTTGAGGAAAAAACAAATTGATATGCTTAGAAAGGAAGTCTAGAAGTACAGTAATATGTAAGAAATGTGGACAAGCAAGAGACTGAAGCCAGGCAGTGAATAAAATCAAAACCATGAACTCATCTCTGCAATATTTCCAACTCCAAACCTAACTCTAAATTCAATAATAGACAGGACAAATCTCAATGTTAAAGAGAAAATATGCATTAGTTATCAAATACTGACCTTATTCTTAGCTGCAAGCCTTGAGAATTAAATAGTTTCCTCTCTCAAAGCTTTGTATTTCTTAGCCATAAATGTAACCACAACCATGACTAATTGTAATCAGATGTTAGGCACCACACTCTATCCAAACCAGCGATAAATATCAGCCTTATTAATCCATGCCTGGATCCATCACTACCTTTGGCTTTTCAAAACCTCTTCCATGAACTCATGTTCTAATGCTTGTCCTAGCCCTAATATTCAAACCTTTTCCACAACAATCCCCATAATAAAGGAAGCAAAAAAATCTTCCTTGACCAACATCAGCATGCAACTTCTGAGAGGGCTGACCCAGCAGTAGAACAGATACAGAGACTTAAGAGTCCCAAGCTCTAAAAAGAAACATGACCTTAACTGTAACAGCAGCTGTCTGGTGATCAGGCACTACAGAAAAAGAGACAAAACACTACATTCCTTTTAACAATAGTCTCTTCTTATGAACCTTGAAAACAGAAAACTAAAATGAACTCTTCAGATTTAATTTCTCAAACTCTTATCACAATTACAACTCTGCAATTAACTTAGAATATCTGTAGAGAAATGATCCCTACAGAAAACAGAAAAACAAAAAAGCAACTGGCCTGTTAACTGATAATGCTGTTTCAAAATCTCAGGCCCAGAGTCTTGGGCTCAGACTCCCTTTCCAAAATCTAGTGGCTTTGTGGCAACCAACAATTGACTTGGGTCAGTTTTAGACTACCAAGACTTTATCTTAATTACAACCCAAAATATAACCAGGTTGCCAATCCCCACACTGAAAAATGGAAATAATTACTCAATACTGCCATTTGCTCCCTTTCAACCTTAGAACCTTACAGAATACAGACATAAACTAGACTACTGAAATTCTGAATTTGCAAAATTATCTCAAACATCAAGCTGAAATCAGGGAGCCAGTCCCTACACTTAATACATCAGCTTTTGGCCCACGGACATTGCTTTCTCCTAACTCTAAGGGTACTCCAGAATTCAGAAAGAAATTTGGTTCCCAAACCTTTACTCTGCCACCAACCCTAACCCTAGCTATATGCCACAGCATAAACTAGGCATGAATGATACAACTATTTTCCTAACTCTCACAGAACAGGAGGAAATTTAGGATTTGGGAAATATGGGTGATGACTCTGTAGATGCCTATATCCTAACCCTCACCCCTATTCAGATGACTTTTGTAATTACTCAGTATTTTTTTTAAATTAATGATAATGCTATAGTAGCAATATCTCTATTTTCTACAAAAATTGAAGACAGTTGATGAGTGGAAGCACTTAGAGAACCAGCAAGCAGCTGACTTGCTTTGAAATATCACACCTTTCTCCATTATAAGACATGCAAGTGAACAGGAAAGCAGACATGAAGGAAGATTAGCGATCCAAGCATTTGTTTCACTAAAAAGATTGGGGCACTTTATCTTTTTGTTTCATACAACAGTATTTCATGAAACAGTAAGCTTGCTATTTCATAAAACACTCCCCCTTTACCTGTACAGGTACATTGCCATAGCTGTCCACTACTTCTTTTGTGGTAGTACAAATAATGAAATAAGGCCTACTCCTCAGATCTTTCTTAGCTGATGAGGCTACTCTCACACTGCAGAAAAAAGACTGCATCATGTGCATTATTATGCAGTACCTAAATGTGCATGTTCTGCTGACCAGTGAGTTCAGTATTTCTGTAGCAAACCCTTCTGATTCTTTTTGGTTTGTATATTGCCAGCAAGGAACCTTCAAAGGCTGATGAAAAATTCTCAGCAGCATATAAAATCCTAGGGTGCCTGTTTGCTGCTTTTGACTTACATGATGTGGAGTTAATCCTGAGACTACGCAACAAGTACCTTAGCTATTCCACTGGTCTTTTTTTATCTACTATCACTTCTACCTGCAATCAAAGATTTTTTAGCCAGAGGTACCTACAAGCAGAACCATGTGCTTATTAGCTGCTATGCCTCCTTCTCCTCAGGAAACTCCACACCTGATTAGATCATGGCATCGCTGAGGGCTATTCCATGCCCAATTCCACTTCCAGTCTATGGAAGAGGGTCCTTGCACAGGTCTAATTTTGGCATTGTTCTGAACTATTTTGGAAGGTAACCATTATCTCATGCATTTAACAATGACATAAACCTTTGTTGGAAGTGTTTTTCTTCTCTTTTTTAACTGTATGAAAAGCCAGCATGATAATTCTAATTGATCATCAAAGGGGTCATGGAACTTTGTGAGACATACAATCACTTCATTTGCCAAAACAGAGCAGCTGCTCTATGGCACCCTCAAGGGTCTTCTCAGAGCCATACTGGCAAACTGCACAACTCGGACTTCTTTTTGAGAAGGAATGTCTCAAACCAAATCTGTCACTTGCATGATCTGCTCTTACTAATACATTTCCTAATTAGGACTTGCATGCAAAAAGGCAAATTTAATTCACAGGAATCAATTTTTGTGAATATGACACTGGATAGAGAATGTGAGAAGGGCCTCCTAGCTCTACTAGCTCATGATGGGCCCGTATTAACTTACTATGCTCATCTTCCATGTCATGCACTACCTACCCTCTCTGTTTATATTGCTGGTTTTCTAGGGGCAAGAATTGTCTCTGCTTTAATTAGCACAGTACAACTCAAGTGCGATTTCAACATAGACAAGGGTACTACTGTCACACAAGTAATGATGATGATGATCCCAAGATACAGGCATTTGAGGTTCTAAATTAAGATCTGGCTACAATATTAAGAAGCTTGCAGTTGAAATACTAAGCCTATTTCGTTAATTCATCTGCTGCCACAAACCTTGCAACTGACAGCTCCAACATGTCTAAAAAATCATGCCTTGAGTATCTCTGAGTGGAATGCAAGCCATGAAACAAACAAACAAACAAACAAAAAATCAGTGAGGAACACAACATTCAGAATACCTCAGCATAAACAAAAGCACAGCAGTTGTCTCTGTCAATAACCAGTCTAAAAAATTATTTAACTAGTGACTTCAAGTTTATCTGATTCTTCTACTTAGAGCCAGGCATTGTCTTCATGAATGACTTCCACTATTACACCTTTCTCCCCGATCTTTTTAGAATGGGAAATGTAAACAAGATCCTTACCACCCCATAGGCGACAGTATCTGAATACATTCTCATTTCTGGATACACACTGACAAGATACCACCTAAAGGTCTTGCACTGGAGCTTTTTCCTCAAGGCCTTCCTCTCAGAAATATCACCAATATCAATTCCGGAGTCCTGCACGTAAAACAAAGGACAGAAAAAGCAGAAAAGACATCAGTGACACACTTCTGTGTAAACTAATCATCCAGAGTCTCCCTCATTGCAAAGATGATTTTGACCTATGATAATTATCAGCTTTTGTCTGCCAAGCGAGTCTGTTACCCACACACACTCCATAAGTGCCCCAATTAAATATGATACAGGTCACCATGGCAGGGTCTCTTTCAAAGTCTGCTTTGGTCAACGGAACCATTCCTATTGACTTTGGTGGGGTTTAGATCTAGCTTCCAATGAATATCACTGTTGTTCCCTAACTTCCTGGCACTCTCCAAATGCGAAAGTAAATGGCAGGAAGTACCAAGATGCCCTAGAAACAACCTTATTGCTGGTGTCCCACTGTGGCCTAATCATTAGTATATGACCCTTTCTGGCCATTTCTGAAGTCTGGGATTACCGCTTTGCTGCAAAGAGCAGAAGCTCTGCTCACCTTTCTGAAATAGCACTTATTAAATTTCTCTTGTAATGTAAAAAGAGAAGTTGCTATGTTTGTTAAAAGCAATTGCAGAATATTCTCTCCCCTAATTTTTATTGTCCTTTACATCTCTGGCTAAACCTAATTTCTACTTATCATAAGAGCAGATCATAAAGCATGAGTTTCATACGGTCCCTGTATATAAAAATCAATAATTTATTACAGTAAAATCATGCAGTGGAACTTTTTAGAGAGGGATCTAAGTGCAAATCTATGGCTGCTATTTGACAGGAAGTAAAATGAGACATTTTGCTCCACACTGTGCTCTATCACTTCTGCCTCAGAACAAAACGCAGGATAAATAAATTTTCATAGGGAAATCCTATAATCTACCTACATAAACAACGGCCTTTACTGGGCCATAAACGCCCTGAAGATTTTGTCAGCCTCCAAATATGATTTAAAAATTACATTGGAAGCACTAAATTGTCTTAGTTACACATCAAAAAGGTATCTTTGTAAGTATCTAGGTTTCTGAGCTGCTGAAGCAATGACACTTCTTACATCCCAGAGCACTGAATTAATGTTAATCTGGAACAAGTATATTTTGTTCTGGAAGCATCTTCTAACTGAGGTAAAATTGACTTCCACATTAGCAAAGTATACTAAGAAGTAGGGAACTGAGGTCTGGCATAAAGAAGCATAACTCAAGCTAATCTTTAAAAATTATGACACCCCTCCCCTCAAGCCCTACATCATTCATAAAACTTTATGTGGAACTACTCCTTAAGCGATCTTTTTTTCCTGACTTTTCTAGCAAGTGACTAGATAGAGGAACATACTAGATGTTGTAAGACAATATAAGGATGCTGTAAGACAACCAACTGATCCCATGGACAAATCCTGCTCATGCACTGCTCTGGCTGCACTTGCACTTGCCAGTGTATCTGCCACTTGTGTGAAGGAAAAGGAGGATGCCAGCACACAGACATTTGACTTCCAGCACTAACAAGGCTTCCAGGGATCAGGTACTAAACTGGTCCAGTGCATCCCAACTCCTTTCTCATGCAACCCTGCAGGCACCAACGGTTGTCTCCTCAAAGTTTATTGTAGAAGGTAAGAAAGAGCAACTGGGGTCTCAGTAATCACATCCTCCCATGCAGCTGGAGAAGGAAAATAGCTCACGTGTAGCACACTGGCTTTATCACCAGCAACAACTCAGTGTGTTCCCCAAAGCTGAGAATTTGATGGGAGGAAAAAAAGAAAAAAACAAAACCAAAACCATAGGGGAGGATACATGGAGAGCACAGCTCTTGCTTCTGGGACTTGAAAAATCTTTTCTTTGGGTTTTAAGTGCTTTTCTGAATCTATTTATCTAGGTAGTTACGATGCAGAAATCACCATGGTATCTTAGATCCGCATTTGAAGCCCTCAGTACTTCAGAGCCACCCACAGAGGTCCCAAGAGGGCAGTCACAGCACACTGCCAAAAGAGTAACTCCTTTTTATTATTATTAGCTCTCAAAGACTAAAACCTTGGGAAACATCTGACTATGGGGCTTCTCAGAGATCTGGGAATTCTTCCATGGAAAAAACAGATGCCGTGGTTAACATTTTGGAATAACATATGTCATGGATAGTCCCGGCTGTTATAACTGAATACATTTCTATTACCTACACAGTCCACTACCAGTGCACTATTTCATCAGCTTCCAGACAGAGAATTACTCCTGTAGTTATCCACTTGTGTAACAGTATTTGGCCATGCTATCTGTCTGTCCTCTCTGCATGTCTCTCACAATGATGTCTCAATATCTTTTTGCCTAAGCTGAAGCTAGGTTTGATTTGAAAATTGTCCCTCTTTGGTATTTCACCTTTAATTTAATCTTGAGGTAAGCAAAGATGAAACAGAAATATTGCCATCCCATCTGGTATCTACATTTGACCTTATCCATCCCCAGCCTTTCTCATCCACCATCTCTTTGCCCCCTGCCTACTGGAAGTCTGTATTACAAGTGTCCCACAAGCTTTAAGTTATTTTTTAGGTTCCTTCTTTACACTGAATACTCCCTCTTTCTACCGATGTTTCTATACCAACCAGAGACTGCATTGCTCCTAACCTTTTGATGTATAAAAGAGGAGTTCCACTAATGATGATTATACTGACTGATTCAATTACAGTGCTTGGGAGTGTAATTTCATCCTGTATTTTCTTCTTTCCCTTAAAAGGCCAGAAGCTTTCCTTAAACAGGTACTTGTTTCCTACTGCTCTAGAATCAGTTCAGTACTTGCTAAGTTTAGCACTGGAAAGGAAAAGGAAGTGCCAGGTCTTTGGAGCTCTTCCCCTGATTCTTGGCACGAGGCCTCACACAATGAACACAAAGATGCCTAGAACAGCGTCAAATTACACAACTGATTTGGGATACTTGAGCACATGTCAGGCTGTCAGAACAAAACAGAGCCCCAACACTCTTCTAAGTCCTTCCCTATTTGCCACATGGCAAAAGATGGAAGCTGGGTGAACAACACCTGGATGTACACAGCTGTAAGTCACAGACCCCATCTGACAGGAGAACCTTCTGATGGTCACAAAGGTGCCATGCTGTCTCTGAACATCCTGTAGCAATTACTAGGCAACGAGTACATTCAGGCTTTATAGGCCTGTTACAACTGTGAAAACTAAGCTGTTTCCCAGTATATTTTAAATAAGTATGTGGGCATGTGTGTGTTTATTTGGTTTTCTACAGCAATGAGAAATACAAATGAAGGTTCTGTGTGCTACAGGTTCCATACATACACATAGTAATAGATTTCTCCCTGCAACAGAAGCATCTCATTACATTGCAGAAGAGGCTACCACTATTAAAAGCTGATTTAGTGCTTGCCATTTCCAGCTTTTAAGTCTGCACTATGGTTTGACAGCAGTAGCCTTTGTGAAGATGAAGAGAGAATATAATCTGCCTTGCAATTTATTCAAGCAGTTCAGTGCAATGATTAGTACATTTGTGGTGGGAAAATGACTGGAGATTGAAGTAGTAAGAAAACTTGGCATTCCTCTTCAAAACTATGAACAAAATCAGTTTTGGCAGTACAAGATCTACCGTGCAAACACCTTGATGCACTTTGTGACCTGAAGAAATCAGTTCAATCCACACACTGCATTTATTTTTCCTTTGTTTAATAAAATATGTTTCCTTTGTTTAATAAATGAGTTTTAAAATTTATTATAACAGCTTATTTTTTCTGATCTATAGGCACAGTCAAGACAACTTATCTTTGTATTCTTTATGAATTTAATTTCCAAATTGCATTCAAATCTCAACCTTGCACAAGATTAAGCATCGCCACCACCATATCTGGATGAATATTAGGCAAATATGCGTATAATACCATATATCCTGGTTAGCAAAAGGAATTTCTAAGTTTTGTGTTAATGCTGTGTTTGCAAGTCAAAAAGATGAAACTTGCTCAATCAATAAAGATCAACCAATCTTCAGGAAAATAACTAACAAAAAATAGAACCTGACAATAGCAAAATGACTTCCCCACTTTGCCAACATTATCTAGTTTTAACCATGAGATAAGAAGGAAATTACTGAAAGCAGATGAATCAACATCAGCATTCATATATCTAGCTGGTTTTTGGTTTCTAGCCTTTTTTCCTTATTAAACTAAAGGAGGAGAACTACAGCATTTTATTTCTCAAACCAGAAATCACAGCAAAACCAGTTTCTCTGAACAGTTGCAAAATCACTCAGAGGGATTTTTATTAAGGAAAAAAAAAAATTGCCCAAGTTTATTTATTAAGTCTAGAATATTTGCTTTTGCTGTAATGATGAGAACTGCACACTGTAAGTCAAACCTCAAATTCAACTACAGACATGGTTTCCAACCTCTAGGTGGAAACAACCTATTCTGCATGGATCCTGACTATTTTCCAGAATAGATACAGTCACCTTTCTCAGAGCCCTGTAGCTCTTAACAATTCATAGATTAAATACCATTGACTACAGATCTGAAGAACAACTAAAATCAGATGTCAAACTGAACTCCCAGGTTAGCCATCCAACATTATCTTTTCAATACAATGCACCAACCATTGCTCATCTATGGAAAAGAAATCTGGACAAGCAGGCCAAATGGGAGTTGCAGCTAGATTCTGCAATATGTTATGACATCCACCAGCCACCCTTACTCTGATTTGAAATTTCTCAAGAGTGACACACACACACACGAATCAGTAGATGTTAACATCCCTTGCCCCTTGGCAGAACTCCCCTCACAAATCTGGAGGAATTATAGCTCTCTGTGATGGTAAAGAAGAGACTCAAATTCAAAAAAAGATGTGTAATATAGATTTAATGCTTTCTGCCCCCCGCTCCCCCCCATTTCTACAGCTGCTAGATTAAAATCTCCATGAAAAGTCATCAGTGAGGATTATGAACTTCATAAGAAACTAATTTTTAAGGAACCCAAAGACAAAGAAATAAGACACAACTACAATATGTTTTTATATGTAAGTGTGCATGTATAGGCATATCTTATGCCTATATATAAGACATAAATGCATACATACGTGTAAACAAATAACAAAATCCTAGCAGAAAAATAAAAATTCAGAGTAGGAACCAAACCCAAAAGGATCTAAAGCCAAAGCCTGCAAACACCAGTCTTTGTGACTCACCTCCTGGGGTATGTTCCATGCCATATAGACATGGCTCTTAAATTCATCCATCCAGACTTCAGCCACCCTTAGTGCATTTCTCCGGACATGAGCAGTTAGATCTTCTGTGTACGGTTTATGTGCTCTTTCAATGTGGGCAATCCTGGAGCAAGGTAGAACCTCAACACTTCCTCCACATTGCCATACCTAGGAGGAAGAAAGACATTCTGCTAGTGAGAGCTTCCTACACCACTGCTGTCCTTTAGTAAATACATTTTAATAATTTTTGAAATTATTTTATTTCTATGCTTGTCATTGTTACAAAGGAGAGTAACTACTCAAGATGTATTTGACTATGCAGAGGTTTTTTTTAGACGGTTGTGGGAGGAGAGAGTTATTACCTTGCCTTACCACGAATTATTACTGCTATGTAACCTTACTAGAGTATTATTACATTACCAGTAGCCTCTCATCACAATCGTTCTGGATCAGTTTAGCTATTCTCAAGATTATTAATAGAATTATTTACAGAGCATCCAAACCAATAGTGTCTGGGTTCAAGTTTTAACACCTTGCAGGCATTTCTCTAAGATTGTGCACAGTCCATCTCAGTGCATACATGCACTATTCACAATCTAACTAGGCAGCCTTACGTAAAAGGGAAACTAAGCCAATCAACTTTTTAAGATCACTAAAGTTTCAGGTCCTAGGAAGACTAGGAATATAAATGCATCTTATGCTTTGCTTTAAACATAGCTCAGAAAGGATCAGGTTTATTTCTTTTGAGAAGGAGTGACAAAGACTGCCTAGTGAAAATGTTCTATGAACAATTTCAACATACACTACTCTTATAATACATTTACAATGTAGGTTACTATACCTGCTCAAGTGTGTTTCAGTTTTGCCCACTACTACAGTTGAGCTAATGTCCATAATGTTAATCATAAGTATTGCATTCATTTTTTATTTTCTCTCTTTCTGCTTTCAACAAGAGAAAACCAGTTTGGCAGCCTTAACAGTCAGTAAAGTACTTGAATTGTTTTACACAGAAGCTCTTTTTCTGTGTATCTTGTATTACATAAACTTCCTAACAAGATCAAGGCAGCCCATTCATAACGGTTGAGTGGGTGCTGCTCAGGTGAAAACCCAGATATACTCAAC